TCAGAGGGCTGACGCGGGGCTCGCTCCCGCCGTGAGAGAGTTCTGCGCTCCCCCGCCCCCAAGCCTGCTCCTGGGTCGGGGTAGCATCTGCAGCTGGACTCCCCTCCCCACCCCAGCCGCCCCAGCCACTCCACTCCGCCCACACCCACCCTGCCAGGTGCTGGGTGAGGGGAGTTGGGCCTTGGCGGCAGGACGGTGCCCTGGGGTCAGCGGGGAGGGGTCCTGCACAGTCCCCACCGGGCCTCAGCTCCCCGAGGCGCCGGCTGGTCTGGCTGTGCAGCCAGCAGCAGTGGTGCCCAGGCTGCAGTCTCACCACGAGAGACCCTCCTCCCAGACCCTCCATGACTTCCCCTCCCCACGGAGGGCGCCCTGGTGCATCTGGAGGGAAGGAGGGGCAGGCAGACGGGCAGAAGGGGAGGCTGGGCCCCGGGCCTGGGGCGGGGCTCACACAGCAGCCCACCCTGTCCCGCCAGGGCCCCGGCCCCCACCTGCCTGCCCGGGCTGCCAGCCTCCTTCCTCGCTGGCTGACCCGTTCTGCCTGTGGGAGCCTGGGGTGGGCTGGAGGGGCTCACAGCTGGGCTCAGGGCTTGGGTGGCCATCTAGGTGGCGTCCTGATGCCCTGTGTGCAGGGTCTGAGGGGCATTGGGTGGGGCGGGCAGCCCCTGAGGGACCCTGTGTTTGCCACATGAGAGGCTGGGCTGTCCCCCGGACCGCGCCTGCCTTTACGGGGAGGTTTGGGAAGCACGTCCTGTCGGGGGGAGCTGTCTGGTTCGGAGGACCAGAGGTGGGGCAGTGGGCAGGGGAGCAGGGTACCCCCAGCCTGGGCAGAGGGAGGCCCCAGGGCTGGGCAGTAGGGGAAAGTCGTGGCTCTAGATAGGCACCGGGGGAGGGACAGTCCCTAGTGCCCCTGCTGCCACCTGAGGGCCAGCAGGCTGGGCCTGTGACATGGCCTGACTCGGGCTGCCCTTCTGGAGGGTCTGGGCTCCAGCTTCGCTGCCACGTCTGTAAGTCACGTAGGGGACACGGAGACACACCCCCACGGTGACAAAAGTCCCTGCAGCCGCCCTTCCAGGAAAGTCTGCCCAGAAGGGCAGGCCGGAGGTGCCGTACTGGGGAAGCCTGGACGTAGAGCCTGCAGCGGATGGGCCAGGGGACCGCAGGAAGTGCAGCAGAGGCCCAGAGCAGGGGCGGCCCCGGACAGCGCCCTGCACCAGGAACCTGGCGGGTGGGGAGGCCAGCCCAGCTTAAGCACCCTGGCAGGGCCTGTGGGGTCAGGCGGGCAGTCGTGCTGTGGGCTCAGAGGGAAACGTAGGTGGGCCGGCTCCTCCGAGGGGCTCTCCCCAGAGGCTGCTCGCTCTGGGCGGGCTTCTGGTGCAGCGCACCTCCTGGCCATGATCTCAGGAGACACTCGGCTACACTAGCAGCCTGTACAGCCCCGCTCCCAGGGAGAGGCCCCTGGACCCCCCTTGGGCCAGGCCAGGAAACGGACCCACCTGCCTCGGGACCAGCAGCAGGCTGGAAGGTGCTCCCACCTGCCCTGAACCTTACCCACTGTGCTCACCAGCGAGCTCCTAGGCAACTGAGTACAGGCCCAGCTCCAGCGTCCACTCCTGTCAGTTTCTCTGAGCTCCCAGCAGAGTCAGGAGGGTATCTAGGGGTCCTGCCTACTGGGAACTTGACCTGATGGTTTGCCCGGTGTGAGCTCTGTCCTTCCTGGTTCCTTTGGGTGCGGGTGTTGATAGTCAGTGGGCTTCTGCCAGCTGGCTGGGCTCTGGGCTTGTGGCTCTGTGGGTCAGTGTAGTCGCCTAGAGCCCTTTGAAGCCTCCGGCTGCCGTGCCTGGACACAGGGCCGTGGGCCAAGCCAGCCAGGAGTGGCGCTGGACACTGAAGGCCTGGGCTGTGACCCTTGGGCCTTGAGGCCCGGCTGTCCCGACCAGCGGGTTTTTGCTGCCCCGTCTGTCGCTGTGGTATCCGTCATAGTATCACAGTAGCAGGGACCTCGGCAAAAAGCCCTGCTTGTGGTCACAGGCCCTTCCCTGCTGGAGGCCCCGGATGCAGGTGTCTGGCAGGCTGTCTCCACTGGTGCCCAGCACATCCTCCCACCCGCACCCCCTGCAAGCGTGGTCGGGGGGTGGTCTGCACCGTCTCCCCAGGAAGGACGCAGTGCCCCCCACTGAAGGCGTGGGCAGAAGCAAGCCTCTGTGGAGTGGGCGCACGGGAGTGGGGGCACCCCAAGTCCTTTTAGGGGTCCAGGTGCACTGGGCTGAGGGGCTGCCCTGGGGGCTGGCCCCTCTCCTTAGGTGTCTCACACAGGCTCGCGGGGGG